TGGCACTACACAGCCACGCCTTATCACACCCTATTTTCGTTATTTAACCCACGACAGGAGAATATTGTGTGGGTCAATAGGCGAAAATGTGTTATCTTTCATAAAACCGGAAAGTAGGTCGGTTGATTTTGTGGAACGTGGCCATGCAACGCGTGGACATCTGTCAAGGGGTGCCTCCCGGGAAGACTTTCTATGGCCCCTATTTAAGTGAAGAAAACACGTGGTCAGGCTGTAACCCGCGACCGAGAGAGAGGTCAGTGGTTTTATACACTAGGCAACTAGGCTAGTCGTCTCGAGGCATCTCACACCTATAAGGTTAAAGGTCACGGATACTACGCTGTTTCGAATGTAGGGAGCACCATATATTTTATAGTTAGGAGAACCCGAAACGGTATAAAAGGTGTTCACCTTTTATCCGTCTCCATATTTATGTAGGCGCGTAAAAGAATTATTATTACATAACATTGTACTGTACATATTTGTAGATATTCTCCTACATTGATTATTTTATGGTATTAAATAAGAATAACGCATTATTTTTCCAGAATCCATTTTGTAAATGGTACGAATAGGCGCACGGGTTGCTTCAAAAGACCACTGAAACAGAAAGTCGCGCGACTTTCGATCGTATTTTACACGCGTTTATTATTATCTGGTGTTAAAAAGACAAAGGAAGTAAGAACCAACCTGTTCGGGGAAGACGATTTTAGTCTGTCACTCCATCTAAATTGTATATATTTTGGGTTTTGCCCCGGGACAAAAATCACGAAATTTCCCTCGCTCGGTATTGCAAGATGGCGGACGAAACAGAAACGAGTAACTCAATACAGTTGTACTGTACATTAGACGATTTAACACCAGTAAACAACCGGTGCTGGACTTAAACTCGTAACTCTAAGCTATAGCGCGTAACGGACCCTTCCCCACCACCAAATAATACGCGTAACAATGTGAGGCCCTAAGCCATAGACTCGAAAAACCAAGGCCCTAGATTACGTACAAAAATAGCCATATATTTTATAATAGCATAACCAGGGAGGCATAACCCTTACCTTTATAATTAAGTAAAGAGAAAATAAATACAAGAAACAGATTTATACACGTATATATATATATATATATATAATTTTTAAGAGAATGCTCTGTTATAGCAAAATTCTTATTTAGTGTTGTCTGAAGAGAACTTTATATATGTTTTATGTGTTAAAATTTACTTCCATTAAAAAATTTAAATAATTGTAGGCAATTTGTGTATATTAATAATGCATATTAATAATATACACAAATTGCAATTTATGTTGAATAATTGTATGTAATATGTTTAATAATTGATATTTTAATTAAATTTTGTTTTATTATTTAAAAAAATGCAAATCTATAACGTATCTTCTGATCTAACATTTTATTTTCTAATTAAAGGAAAATCTGAAGTTCACTTTTGTTTGTTCATTTTGAAGAAACTTATTATTTACTTTTTACTAAAGCAGTGATAAGCAAATTAATATTATAGTTATGATTCATACAGTTAGAGATGAAGTACTAGCTATAAATATGACATCAAATGATTTAATAATGATAATATAGATGTTAAAGTTAGAATCTGTATTAGTTAATTTATACTAATGTAGATATTGCATTTTGCAATTATTCACATTAAATTGTTTTGTATATATAAACTATATAACATACATTATTTTAGCAAAATACTTGAAAATTAAACACACAGATCACCTAAAACCAGCTATAAACAAAAAATTTAATGTTAAAAAAATATTTTCTATTATTTTGAATGGTTGTTTTCAGGTTTGTAAAATTGAACAGAAGAATGTCAAACACACATTTAAATTACAACAAAATAAAATGTTGAGCATAGGGAGCTTGGTGAATGTTTGATGCAGAATGTAGAAAAAAATGAAATGCACTAAATAAACATAAAAATAATAAGAAAATACAAAGAAATTTATGAAAGTTCATAGAGTGCCTTCCATGCAAGTGAGAGAGAATCTTTGATTATAGAGGTGGTCAATTAGTTAAAACAAAAATAAATTTTATTTTATAAATATATTTTTTATTTTAAAAAACAAATAATATAAATTATTGAAATATAGTAATTATCTTTACATCAAAAAGTATTAAATGACATTGTTAATTTTATAATTTTTGTTTAAAACATGATAAATTAATAGAATCAGATAGTATATAGACTGAAAAATGAGCAGAATCTCTATAATAGTAGCTTAGAATGATAGATAGCTTTTTGTTCTTATAATCATCAAAAAGTAGACTTGATTGAATCACATATAATATTATATCATTAAATAAATTAAGAATTTAGTATAATTTGTTTTTAGCTTTATAACTTTGAATTTTTCTTATTGGATTAAATTAATATATTATTGTTATATTATTTTTCTTAACTTCAATAATCAAACAAGATATGTTTCAGCATGAAATTATTTTGGCCTCTATTCTTCTATTTTATTTTATGTTTTAAAGTTTGCTGCATATAGTTTAAAGAAAAGTAACAATCAAAAATTCACACCTTGATATAGAAGTTAACTTTTTTTTCATTTGAAATAGCTTTGAATCATGATTACAATCAAGAAGTTGGAGTATAGTTTGAGAGTATGAATGAATGTAAATTTTCTATATACTGTTTTTTTTTTTTTTTTTTCATTTAGTCTGGAATAGATACTGTAAATAGGATTTTAACATTTTTTTCTAGAATAAGTTTGATTTTTTTTTTTAATTAAAATAAGTCAGTTTTGGTTTTCTTTGTTCAATATTATTGGAAGAGTATTTTCCATACCATAATTTTAACTTATGATAGTAATGATGAAATAATAAAAAAAAAT